TTTTCCTATTTAAGCAAAATGAGGAAAAACTGTGCTACAAGCACCAGGACATTCGCCACAGCAAAGACAAAACACCCTACACACTAATACCAGCAACAAGGATACAGGAAACGTTTGGAATTGGTTTTGATTTGAAATGTCGGGTAAAATGCAGTTTCCAATTATTGCAGAAATTAAAAAAATACTCATACGCACCGAGAGCCGCGTTGCTGTTAACGGAAAGTATGAAGTAAATTTAGAATCTAAAAGGAAAAATGAGAAGTGTATGCATTTACTTAAAATAATTGAATTTGAAAACGATCAATGTTTATAGATAATATTACGAGAGATAAAAGACAGTTGTTAGGTTAGCGGTAACATTATAAACTTAATTACTGACAAAATTGTTAGCAGCAGTTGCATTATCTTAAGAGGAAAATATGAGATACTATATTAATTTCAAATTCTCTTTTTCTCTATTTCTCTATACGTTGCAAATAGAGTTTGTTAATTCAATTCTTTTTATATTCACAAAGTGCAGTATCAGGTTTATAATCTCCAAGTGATCTTCGCCTTGACTTTTTCATGACAACAGTCGACGTCGACGTTGACGTGGCTAAAAAGTGTGCCATTACTCACAAACAGGACTTGAAAAGGCATATCAGCATTACAGCATTCAGTATTCTTCAGACGGTTGTACTACCGAGATGGTTGCAAATGAAAACAGTGGTAGACCTATGTAAATTTACAAAATGCATACAAAATATTATACGACCCAGCACCATATATAACTGGCATGGTGCTGGTGCTGTGACTAAATTCTGTTTCTAAAGCTTAAAATATAGCTTCATGGAAGCATTTAATTCATCGAACCAATTGTAGATTCTACAGCTTTCCACCTATGAGATTTATAGATAGGGTTGTGTCAACCCGAACATTATTGTCATACATCCGATGGAATTTACTTGAAAGATGATTAAATTAAATTCAAATGTCTTCGTGTTTTATTTAATAAATCTAAATACTAAAGCATTGATAATTGTTAAGTATGTCTTAATTAAAATAGATTATACATAACTAAATAAAACTGTTAAGACCTTTGTATATTGCGTTGTAATTGACAACTGATGTAAGAACCAAATCGATGGATTATAGAGTGCATATATTTAATCGCAAACATTCCGAGGCAGTTAAACTTAAATAATTTTCTTCTAAAATAAAATACCAGAAGATTTTCTAAATGAAAAATGTGATTCATCAAATTTTTCCTAATATAGGGAGAAGTTTTTTTTTAATTTACAAATTATTCTGAAAATGAAAGTGGTGTCCCACTATACGCCACTGAAATCCAGAACATTTCCAATGTAGAAGGATCCAAATTGAAAATATTCATCGAATAAATAATTTGTACGTAGCAGTGGCACTGCCATGAATGACTGAAAGGAAAAATAAAAACAGAATCCACGAGGAGATTATGAAATTACGTTTAAATCGGTTACGGTTATTTGGAGGTGAATGGAAAAGTTACTGCAGATGGTCCTTAAGTTCTCTGCATCCTCGCTCAATTCAATAAAAAAATATTTTATTGAAAACAATATTGAAATGGAAAATTCTTGAATGCAAAGTAGGGTAACGCTTTGTCTATGGAATTGCTTTCAAGTGTGTAAGGGGGGAATGAAGGTGAACTTTAAAAGTTGTTAGATAAATTATGTTGTGAATTAAAAATAAAATAGACAGTTTTTTACAATATAAAAAAATCACAACTTTTAATAATTTACTTAGTTTTTTATTTAAGTTTACGAGATTGAGTGGTGATTTTTGATTTATGTTACTGGAATTAGTTTATTTTTTAGAATATTAATACATAGAAGTCTTATAAAACGTAGTAATATAATTTATACATAATAGACATTTTTAAAATTATTATTTAACATTATTTAACATTATTTAGTTTTATTACAAATTTAATGATATTTTAAAAATATTAAAATGGAAAGGAAAAAACCATTTATAATAGTTAGGTTTTTTTATGCAACTGTGGTTTATGCGTTAGTTTTCAAATTTAGCATTGTAAGGATAATTGTGTAGTTAACAAATAAACAATTAAAATTTACAAAATTCTTAAATTAAAATTAAATATAAATATAATAATTAAAGCATAAAAATATAATTAATTAATTAAATATATTCCTTGGTTATGACACTATAGTTCAAATAAGCAGGTTGCAGTTTAGTATGATGATTGTGTAACCCCTTAAGTACAAGGGAAAGTCAATCTTGTAATTTTACGGTGAAATTTCCATAGTAAATAGTATAATAATACAAGTTTAAGTAAATGAGAAGTGTTAAATATTTATTTAAAAGATTACATTCTTTTTAATTTTACCTAAAAAATATAAAACATTCTTTGAATATTAAAAAATATTCAAAACAAGCCGTGTGGTCCGAAATGTCCGAAAAATCTAAAAAATTTCACATCTTTGCTTTTTTGTTCGTTATGGGAACTTTTTGAACAATCTGATATTATCTATCAAATACATAGGGCTTCAGAAAAATGAGTAGAATGATAGTACCGTGTAGTCTTGAGTAACGTGTAGTGAATAAAATGCCCTGGTAAAAAAAAATATCGTAAGAACAACTTAACTAAACTTGTAGCTTAAATAAGTTAAATTTGCTTCCTATTGAACACATAAAAATTTAAAGAAAAAAAAACTATAGTCTAATAAAATAATTTTATAAATATAAGAAAAAATTATAAATTAATTTTTCAACATTTTAAAAATTGCTGAGCTTATAAATACCCGCAAATGTACTCTATCATTTGTTTTAATCTACTGCAAAAAGCTAAACCCTTAAATCATCCCGCTGTTGCCTTATCTATATGATTTCATTTATCATAATTGGTGAGACAGTTGTATACCGGTCCTTGCAGTTTTCATCACCATTTATACCAATTCGGACTTATGTATTTTTAATACATCTTTTTATTTGATAGCTTTTGCCATCATAAATATGTGTTTGTAATTAAGACATGACGTCACCATATGTCATAATTACAGTCACAAATTTATATGCATCTTGTTTATTTTAAGGTTTTTTTTATAATTTTTGCTTACTTACAATGTTTTATTCCAAGTAATATCATTCATGCATTCTATGCTCTGTTGCAGCACTAAATACTCTTAATGTATTTATGAAATATTTGGTTAAATTATTGTTTGAAGAATTGCTACAGTTTCTATAATTACTAGTATTGTAATTAGTTTCCTGCCTGAACCATATTTTCCACAAAGGAACTAGTATGACTTTTTATTTTCATTAAATACATTTGCTGCTTTTATATGACTACTGTACATTCTTCACACCTCTCACAAAAGTCTATTCAGAAATTATACAAAATGAAATTTAAATTGCTTCCTTTCATTAATAACAAACCAATTTGATTGAAAATTGCTTTGATATGCTCACAATATTTGTCAATTTTCCAAATATTTCATTTTTCCAAATATTGGCACCCTGAGGTGTTGTAAATAATATGTTAAACTTATATACAAAGGTAAATTTACTCGTAGATACATAAATGCAAAGGATACACAAACCATTTCGAACTAGGACTTTGTCGTGCTTCAAGCTTATTTTCTAAAAATAAAAAATGTAACTATGTGAGTCCTGCTGAGCTGAGTCCTGCAATCGACATGGTAACATTTACCTATGCAGAGTCGTTCAAATCAAAATACGTGTTTGAATTTGATTGTCTTTTAATTTAACTTCAATAAATAATTTACAACAAAACTCCAACAGAAAGAGTCGTATTTTTTGGTATGATAAGTTGAATATATTGCATATTCACCTTCCGGTAAAGGATAAGGAATACTTTCTCATACGAAGTGTTTTCCTTCCTAGCCAGGTGTTAATTAAAATTCTTTGTTTAAAAAGCCTGATTTGTTGGATTCTACGTATATGTGTTATTGCAGTAAGTGTGGATGTATATGCCATATGCAATGCTTTTTTAATGACATTACAGAAATACTTAAAATTCTTCCAAAATCGTTCGGAATGGAAAAGAGGAAACTTAACTGAGTATGTAAATATTTTAGGAGTTTTCAACGTTCAGCCTGAAATTTAAGTAAGTGGAATATTAAGTGCTTTTCCATCTAATAATATATTATATATTGTATAACTAAACATATTATAGAGGATCTTCAATTAATTAAAACGATAAGATGAATTGAACATACTAGATCTATAAGGATATGCAGATGATGTATTGAAATGTGTGTAGGCTCAGAAGTATCGAAGCTTTCCCAAAGTAATATTAATTTTTAATTAGTGTTAAAGAATATTTAAACATACTGAATATTATTAAATAAAAATTTTTAAATTAAAAGTTATATTAAATTGACAACTGTTTTGACGAGAGAAACTAAACTCTTAATATAAACAATTTTTTTAATGGAGAGGTTTTTATCAAGCAGCATTACGTTGGGGTTTCTTGAGTTAGTGCCATTGCGCACTTTTACTCTTTTGTGGCTGGTAGGCTTATTACTGACCCACACTAGTCTTTAACTATGCAGTAATTCATATCGTTTAATTTTGTAGTTGATGATGGACCGTAGATCAGCATATCTTCCTGTGGATCCTGAGGTGGACTTGAGGTTTGTTAGGGCGGGGTTGTGTAGCGCATCAACTTCTGTGAATAATTTTAGGGCTTTGTCCCTGATATATTTTTTCACTGAGTCGATCCTTAGATCTCTATGTATGTCTGTTGTTCTAGTATAACATGAATTCTTAAATAGTTTTCAGATTTTGTGATATTTGTAATTGCTTAATGGCAGTATTATAGGCTTTGCTGTATGCAACAAGTCAAGTTAACATAAACATTGAAGTAAATATTTGAAAAAAAAACTAGAAATGTTGTCTTTTAAAAGTATTAAGATAATAAAGACAAAGATTTAGTTGTATAATATGCAGATGTAATTCACTTTTTGCTTTTTTAAATTCATACACTAAATAAACCCTGATATAAAATCAAATTAAAAAAAATTTAGATAAACTAATTAATAGAATACTTATAAATGTGGGACGTAATTACTTTATAACTATGGCCACAAAAAATTTCTGTTTTCTCTAAAAGGTTTTCAATGATTTCTGCGACATTTGCAGTTTATCTTCTCAAACCAGCAACGTTGACATAACTCATTTGAATTCGATATATTATTTATATCTTCTGGTACAGACGTAACGTTATTAGTCGGGGCAAGGTATGGATTTGTGATTTCAACACCTGTCGGTCGCATTGCAGACAATGATATATAATCCCCAAATTCTCCTGCATTATTATCTTTTTCGAAATTGACTTGTCCTTCTTTAGGCAATGAATTACTAGGCTCTGAAATTACTATATCTTTATTATCTTTATCTTCAGTATCTCTTCGCAATAAACTGTTTGAAAAAAACATATTTTGAGCAGCCGATTCCATATTATTTGGACCATAAACGTTAATCCTTTCTAACATTTCTACTAATGTCATTACACGTGGGGATTCATATTTGGAAGCTCTATCTCTTGAGCCATGAGCAACGTTTTGTTCTTTTAGATAATTCTGAACACTCATTTTAGACGGCATATCATCGCCGGAGGATTGGGAGGAGTCAGTACTCCATTCAGTACTTTCGCTAGAATCGCTTTGAAGCCATATATTACAACTGTTGGCATCAATGTTTTTTGGCAGAACGCAGAAATTAATGTCATCAACAATTTCATCTAATTCACTTTTAGCTACAGCGACAGCTTCCCTATATTCCCTTTCAGAAATATTATTTTTAACCGTTTTATTAGCAGCAGTAGGAATTGGATTCTCAAGATTTTGTCTTAATGTTCCGGAGGTACGTTGATCCTTGCTTAAACTCAAACTCGGTACATTAAAATGCGAAAAGTTTGCTGCGATTTTATCTATAATTACATTAATTATTGCTTTAGTCATTTCTGCACCCATTGCAAGTTCATACTTTGCATCAGCACTGCAGTTAGATTTATTTTCATTAGAGGCAACGCATGTTACGCTGTTTGAAGGCATGGAATGGGCAGCTTGTGCAGTGACTGACGAATTAGGCTGATCGTTTGTGGTTGATATAAGTCGACGCTTTCGTTTTATTGGTGGGGAGTAAGGTGGCTTCTTCTTATTCTTCTTATTCTTCAATACAAGATTTGGAGGCAGCTTTGTAAGAAAAATTAACTATACAGTACTTATAAATATTTCAACATAACTTACCTTCCTTTTTTTATTTTCTTCCTTTTCTATAAGTTTTAACTGCCGCTTAGTATCTTCTAAGTTATAATAATGTCCATTGCACATTTCCACATTGCCGAACGTTGTGGCGCTCGCGAGTGCCTCAATTACTTCCTCTTCTAGTTTTTTGAGATCTGTCTGCCTTTTGCGTTTCTTTGCTATATGCTTCGCGATTTCCTGCGGAGTGGACGGCGCTATTAGCTCACGCAATGCTTTTAAGATCCGTTTCCCTTTAACTGGCATCTTTTTTTAATATTTACTTATGCTAAATGTATTAATGAAAAATTTGACACAATATGTAAAATAATAGATTGACAAATGACAACTTGAAGTTAGTGTTGGGATATCAAATTTTTTAAAACGTACCAACCTTCTTTAATATATCTTAATTAGAGGTAAAATTATTGAGATATGACAACTGTGGTTGCCAACTGCTTGAACTCATTTTACAAAATTTGTTTTGCAATATTCTGTTTACACTTGCAATTGTGACCTTTTATCATCGCTTGGTTATGAGAGGAATTATCTCAAAATATTAATATAAAATCTCGCTATATTCCTGCCTAAATTTTATTATTTATGCAGTTTATTATTATATGTGTAAATTTGCGGCACTGTTTTATTGGTATATATAAAATATAACTACTAATTGAGACAATACATGTTTAGTGTCATCTTGCCATTCACAATAGACCTTTTCTTTTGTAAACAGATCTCAAAGTAGCAACATAACTACTCTGATGGTAACTCCTGAAGAACTGGAAATTTTTTTGCACTTATATATGCAAAACACGTAATAAAATTTGAAGTAAAAATTTCAAAAATGAATAAATTCTCTGTAATTATGGATAAGAATATTTTATTTTTACATAATTGTGAATGAAATTTGTATTTTCAGACTTTTTCAATGTTAGCAAAAAAAAATAGTAAATTAAAAAGAATTGAAAATTATTTCTCAAATATTTGTTAACAATCAACTGGAAGTTTTGTACGTACTTCCAAAAATCGTTCACAATAGATGAATTTTTAATCTTGGCAACCATGCGACTTGAGCTGGCCATGATATACGGATTGTTTCGGGCATGGCAAAATTCGCTCTTTCGAGCTATGCCGAAAAAGCATACTAAGCAGAGTGTCATATCAGTACTGCCAACTTTGTATTTTTACAGTGTTTTGGTACTCTTTGGTTGTGTCTAAATTTAAAAGGAAATTTAGATAAGCTCACTTTCAAATGGCCACCAATAATAACTAGCAAGAAAAAAACTCATAGAGGTCGTAATAATGTTAATTGGTTATTATATTATCTCATAATAATTGTTAGCAGTACTTAACAGTAAATAGGCCTTTCTTTAAAATCGGAAATAGTAATAATAATATTATTTGCGATTTTTAAAAAAGGCTGTGTTCCTTACTGCCATATTTTTTCCGAAACGTATTAGAATTATAGTAATTTGCTCCTAAAGGGCGCAAATTTTGAAATTTATTACAAAACAACACTGTTTTGCCGTAGTGCCGGGACACAAATACACCGGTTCTCATGCCAGAGTTTTAACGGCCATATTGTTTTTTCTCTCATTGTCAAATTTAAAATTTGCATTGAAAACAACAACTATTGTACTTATGCCGTGCCCGAGACACTCTGCATAACATGACCCTAATTAGTTAAGCGATTTCAAAAAGGTTGAACTAAATAAGCCAGCAGTGTTGTTGTTTCATATATTATTTGTTAAATAAGCGGTTGTTCTTTTGTAATATGCTTACAAAAGAAAAGGTCTTGAGTTATATTTAAAGTTTTTGTTTATATTTTAAAAAAATGATTTAGTTATTGTTAGAAGGTCCTAGCAATATTGAGAGAATTGCTTAAAATTGCTTGAAGCTGCATAAACGAATTCATTTTAATTGAATTCGTTTGCAATTAAATGCGTTCATATATGTCCATCAGTTCATCAGTTGGACAATTATCGCTGCCCAACAAATTCACAATTGTGTTTAAATGGAAATGATCGCTTTTATTATTTATGAGTTTTCCACCAGTGCAGCTAATAATTAATCATGCTGTATGCTCAGCACTGTATTATCATTGACATACCATTATCATTTTAATTACCCAGCTCATTACTTCCACAACAAAGAATACACATTTCGCTACCCAAATAATTTCATTCTAATTGTTGTTATTGTTTATAGCGAATTTTCTAATTGGACTAATGGGTGCCCGCTCGCCGCTGGACTGGTCCGTTTGTGTGTGTCTTAACTGATGCTGCGCAACGGTGACCAAATAAATTTTGAACAATTTATTGTTGATAAAATAATATAAATTCAATAGGTTTTTGTGTAATTGCACAAAAGCGCGTGTGAGTGTGGGTTTGTGTGTTTGTGTATGTGTGAGTGCGTATCTCAATCATTTGACATTTGTGTGCATTTGTTTGTTATATTTTCATATACATTGTGTCCTTTCGTCTATTCCCGATATTTGTGTATTTGTGCATTTGTGCAGTTGTGCAATTGTGCCGTTGAGCAATTGTGCAATTGTGCACTTGTGCTCTTCAACTAATTACGTTGAAAATAATTTGTCAAAAAAGTAAATTGTTTGCTGACATTTTTAATGCGGCTTGGGAGTTTTATGAGGGATTAGTTATTTATTGTCCGCGATAGCGCATTTCTGATGTGACAAACACTGCATTTTGCAAGCTCGTATTTTCGATTTAAATTAATGTCCACTTTTATGGTAAATTTCATCATTAATATTGTTGTTTTTGTTGCTTTTGTTGTTGTATTCAAAGTACGAATGATTGTCAAATATACATTATTTTTATTTAATTTTTCGTTTAATTATTTAATATTTTTGTGAAAATTATTGTGATGCATTAAATGCATTATTATTACAAAATTTCAAATATATGATAAGCGCTTTTAAAAATATGCCTATAAGAATAATTATTCATTAAATATTAAACAGCAGCATTAGTTGGTTTTTGGACAGTTTTGGACACTTTTGAATACTTTTGGACATTACATATTAGTAATCCTTTAGGTAAGTATGCAAGTAATTAGAATTTTTAGGGAGTATAATTTAAAATTATATGAACTAATACATCTTTTTAAGTCGTTTTAATTATCCGTGATTGTACCACCTACAAGCCAGCTGGTAGGGATAATACTAATCCCATCTTATACAATAAAGCTCAGATAACGCGCATCTCTGAGTGCCTTCTTACACTCTCTAACGTTTTAACCACAGCACTCTTCTTTCTAGCTTCTTTTTAACCATGTGCTACCTCTCCCTATACACATGGCTTTCACTATCCTAATCATAGATTCCTCCAACACTGCGCCCATGCCTTTAGACTTAGAACTTTTTTGAACTCTGACTTTTAGTCAGATTGTATCTGGTTATCTAATCTAATTTTGTCAAATGAATAACCTGATTTGGATTAAAGAAAGAGTGACATAAAAATGCTACTTGTTTATTGATGTTTGGCAAGTTAGTATTCACTGATTTTTGTCAGTAGATGGTATTGTTGTCCGTATATCTGTTCCAGTTATTTGAAATAAATTAGCTGAATCGGATTAAAGCAGAAGTGAAGTAAGGGTGCTATTTCTTTTAGTTATCGGTTCAGTTTGGTAAGGTAGTACTTGCAGTTTTTGTCACTAGATGGTGTCAGTGCCCATATGTCTGCAACACAAATCCAATTATGTTAAATGAATGATTTGAATTAAATTAAATCAGAGTTGAATTAATGGTGCTAGTTCTTTATTGTTGTTATTTCAGTAGGGTTAGGTAGTAGTTCATATCAGGTGTGACATTTTTAATGAGTGATTTAATTACATCAGTGAATTGTGCTGACGACTTCAGTACATTATTATTGGGCTACGAATACAAATCGAGTCGCTTGGTTGGTTGGTTGGTTGAAGTGGGAGATAACTTCCATGTACCTCAATTAGCGATTTTTCGCCATTTTACTACCACATTACTCGCAAGAATCCTTGTATAGAAGAATAGGGACTAAATCCATCCCGCCGAATTTATATAATTTAATAGATCTTTCGTCTTCACAGTGATGAGCAGTCTGATAAACTATCAAAGAAATATTTTCAGCTTCGCTTACTTTCATGAAAATCTAACTAATGCTCTCTCTTTATTAAATTACAACCACATTTGGTGATAGTTTGTTTAGTCTCAAAAAGATTTTCACTTCAAATGACTATTGTCTGCTCTGTCCAACAATAATACACATTTAACTGTCAATCGTAAATACTTTAAATCGCATACTATGCAATTAAGTATCTTAAGCTCGCTCAAATTGCATTAGGATTTTATGGTATTAAGAGCTTTTCATAAATGCAAATGAGTGCATGAAACTATGCAATTAACATATTTAAACAGCATTTATACTGATTATTCCATTTATTCCATTTTTGCAGTAAGAGTATTTATTCATATTTCGCATATACGATATGGTGTGCTCGTGTGTACTTAAGCATTTATTGTTTTAATTTACATTTATTTTTTTTTTTTTGAAATTTTTGTTGAAATTTTCTAAGACGATTTCTGCTATTGTCGTCGTCATTAAGCAACAAAAATACCATCAACAGCTTTCTCTTAATCACTGACGGAAATTACAATGAGCGTCATTTTCATTATTTGCATAACATTTATGCCTTCAACAATTGCTTTTTTAACTTTCTTGTGTCTATTTCATATAAAATAATTTATATTTTCGCACCATTCACACCATTTCCATTTGTTTCGGTACCTTGGAGTTATTTAGCACATATTTCCATTTAATGCCTTTCCTTTGCTCTCCTTTTGGAAAACGTTTTGTTTTACTGCCTTCGCATTTAAAAACAAATTCTTTCGTTTTAAAATTTTATTTTTATAATTTTTTTTTTTATTTTTTTGTATATTTAAATGTTTACATTTTATATTTTGTTTATATATTTATTTGTTTATTTGTTTTTTTTGGGATCTTCTTTTTTCGTTTTATTTAAGTTTATGTTTTACTGCATATTTCGAATTGTTACTTTTTGTTTAAATTTATGTTAAATTCAGACTCTAAGCAAACTGGCACAGCTCGACGCGTTGTAACTGGAATTTCTCCTCTGCATTGGAAAATTTGTGCAAATTCTGTTGCATACTTTTGTGTGCTCCATTTTGTATATCATTTGAGTGCTTTCGTGTGTTTTGCAAATTTTTGTTTCAGGTTGTTGCATATTTGTGTGCATATTTTGTGTTTAATTCAAGGACGTCGTGTTACAAATTTAAGCTCCAAAGTGGAACAACTCTTAGTGCAAGAAACATTGCAACGCGACACGCCCACTTTTACTGCAACACAAAGATTTTCCACAGTGAACTGCTGTGAATGCGCCCTGTTGTGTTGTTTTCTGCGTTCTCTTAAGTGGATACTTCATTTTCACGCTCTACTTAGGCACGTTTTTTTGTTTATATCTCACATTGTATTCACTGTGAGATACGTTTTATCACTTTTTGTTTACATCCTTTCTTTACCGAAATAAGCAAAAAAAGAACAAAGTAGAAACTTTTTGCAAAATTCATTTGTGCTATGAAAGTATTCACCTATTTGTCTTAGGTGCTTTACTAGCCAGTTGGTCATGTTGTATTAATTTGCCTAATTAGTTTTCACTGTTTTCTGGTTTTGATATTAACGCTTCCATTTCTTTTTTGAACCTCATTCAATATTTTAACACAAAACTAGAGCAGTACGGTTTTTATAACCACTTCGAGACTATAAATCAAAACTCTTCTCAGTACTAGATCAGTAAACTTTATAATTGTAGATCAATAACAAAGTGAAAACATTCAAATTGTGAACTTATCAACCAGTGGTAGGCACCGAAGTTGGTTGAGAGAACCAAACAGCAATAGCAATAACAAAAATGATATAATATCAATACAGTTAAATTCTTTATCACCAGAAATGAATTGCTACTAAAGCGTCAAATTTAAAGTCCAAATTTGTGCAAAAGTTGCTCATGCAATTTCTTAGTACTTGTCGATAAGTATTGCTCGCACGTTGCATCGTATTACAGTATTGCTTGCTTGTGTGTATTAGTGATAGTTGTTTATATGTGTGCAGGGAATATATATATATATTTCCAAGTATACATATATCCCATAGTACACATATATCTCATAGTATATATACATATATCCACCACCCCCCTACATATATAAGTGTATATGTACTAGAGCAGGAGAGTTTTAGATCAATCTGCCAATTAGTCTTTGTAAAAAAGCCACCGTTAGTTGAAGTATCATTGCAACGAAAAAGCTTTTTCAAACGCAGTGAACGATAAACAAAAGCGTTAACTATATATAATGTTTTAGAAACAAGCTTCTAAAATAAGTGGGTCAGGTTTTATGAAAGTAACTATGAAAGTCCTGAAGATGATTCAAGAGCAAGTCTAAAATCTCCAACAATATCAAAAATCTTTGTGAAACTACAAGACAGGATTTTCGAAAACCTCCAATTGAACGAAGAATATTTTATAAAAGCTCTAAGCACTTCATAAATCACAAACCAAGAGAGACTAGAAAGCTTTAGAGCCTCCAAAGTGTGGAGGCATACTTTATTATTCGTTAATACGGATAGTCTATGTAGTGTTATATACTCGAAATATCTAAAACTTCAAAAAGAATTCTGATGTTTCGTTTACTTACTCAGTATAAATTTAATTTAGTCACTCTTTGGGTTTGTTCATAAACCATTAACATTAAAATTTTCTGAGTAAAATTTTAAGTAACACTTATTAATATATACGTCCAAGAAATCAATTTATTGGAATTTATAATTTTTATCTATTTTCCTCAGGCAATGTTATTCTCTACAACGTGATGATAGGATAATATGTATTTATAACAAATTTCAAATTTGAAAAAAAATATTATTTTATGTTTGTTGATAATTTAAAAATTCAAAAGCTACTACGATTTTAAATCAGCAAGCACTTAAATATTTTTAAGTCAACTTTCAGCTCAAGTTTTTGTTAGTTATAGTATCTTTATCTATCTGTCTTCACAATTTAACTCGAGGTCCAAACAGACGTCCATAACTTTTGAAAAGTTCTTTGAGCTTAAAGTATATTAAATTATAATAACGAAGAACAGTAGCAACTTTTATTATATTTATCGGCTTGTTTCTCATATGTACCGAAATTCGGGTCCTATAACATCTAATGACTTCTACAGATTCCAGTGGCGTATAGTGCACACAAACGTGATTCATCCTAAGAGTGTGTCATATATTCTTATGGCGTGTCATATATCCTTATGGCGTATCATATATCTATACGCGTGATTAGTGTGTGCTTATAATGTAAATTGTATTGAATATCGATTAGAGCTTGATTGTATACTGAAATCTTCCTAACCTGCATTACTAAAACGCAACTGTTTATTTTATTTCTGTTTAGTTTATTTCTGAGTAATATTACATCGCAATCTAAAGACTGAATTATGTTATACCAGAGTGGATACTAACACTATTTAAACCCTATCTGGATTATGGATACACAGCAATTCATAAACTGTATTTTAACTTTATTTCATTCTGTGAAGCAGGAAATATACGCCTATTAGCTTTTTTTAGGCTCATCTTTGAAAAAGAGTATTTAAACGAAGCATATAAAGTTAACTGGTTTTTACACAATTGAAGTTTAGATCGATTTAGGAATTTGTTTCAAGTATAGATAAATCAATGTAGAGTTTTGTTGTCGAATAAAAAGGACTATATGGATTAGCGTTCCAAGTTCGTTTTATCGTTCGGTTTCTATATTTTCAATTACTGATGCAGTGTAATAAGTGAATAATCTACGGAAAGGTTTGGGTTTCATGGATAAAGTTAAAGCTTCTACGCTTGCAATCTTTACAGAATCATTTTTATGATAGTAGCGTAGAATTCATTATTAGATTTCCAGATGAGCATTGCATTATTTATACTACTCAACTCAGTTATAAATTCCTTACACAGTTTTGGACGTATTCTTATAATATATCTGACAGATTTGTAGTTTCTGTGTAATTTCTTATTGCTAGGTGCTACCTTACAGTTTGCGGACGCAAGAAAATGCTGTAATCTATTTTATATTAAAAAGTGCTATTATTAGATGCAAAATATGTTACTACTGCAGATTTTAACGAAATAGTGAATGAATTCATCAAAATTCTGCAAAAATCTTTACAAAGAGGTTTTTTTCGAACAGTAGTGAACTATAACAACAAAAATTTTATTTTTTTATATTATTTTAATTAGTTGAATTTTTGTCTGACCATACAGCTGTTTCTAGTATTGCCAAATACCCATCATCAGTGGTCTTGGAAATAATTCTTGTATTTATTTATTCGTAAATAATTATTTTTGAGACTGCAAGTACCAGGAATCGAACTGGGGTCCTGTCAAATGTGAAACTCAGAGTCAGCGCACCTTAACCAACTGATCCAAAGCCATACTTGACTTCTTATGTTCACATATATTTCCGGAGTTTTGTTACTTTTGCTATGAAAGTTTTTATTAACAATTTTACTTGCTGTCTTTATTAAAAATTTAAATCTTATTTCTTTATTCTTTATTCTTCTAGATTTTTATTAAAATTTTTAAAATTTAAAAATATATGTATAAATTCCTTTAACTTCTAGGAGAAGCACATGGTCGCACTCGAAGTTGACGCTACAATAACATTAAAGTACCGCACTTCAACTAACAGTTTTGCTAATTTTGAGTTTAGAATGGCTCTAGAATTGTATTCCAAAGTTATCAGGAGTTATTAGTCCTGATTGCTTTCATAAAAGATATTCTCTTTGAGTTTATATGTATCGGTCAGTTCATTTATTTCCTCTATTCACTTGTTTTTTATCATACGGCTACTACACTAATAAAGAAATCAGTTTGACAAAAAAGGGAAAACATTTTCACAAGATATCTTATTGACTTGTGCTAACATCCTGAAGGAACGTCACTGCAGACATAATAAACCAACTTCTATTTATCCAAATGTACAGAGGTTTTGAGAGTATATCAGAAAATGTCTACATCAGTAATTGTCTGATTCATCAGTAAATACTGATTTTTTAAAAATCGATAGTTGCGTACCAAATAAAAGTTTGCATTGAAGCCCACATTACATGTTTTATATAATTCATTTCACAGCAGTAATTGTTTATAAATTAAAAAAAAGATTTTTATAACGAAATTTATACAAAAAATATCTTTTCCACCATTTTTTTTTTTTTTGTAAGTTGGTAACACTATAGCATGTTACGATGCTTGTCTTTTCTTCAGTTTGTTATCTATTTTTTTTAAATCGATTGATTTTACATTTATTTAATACGCAGATCTTACATCAGTCATCGAAAAATCACGAAGCTTTTAAGGAATACATGGATCAGTCAGTGAGAAGGGTAGGACTCTGCAGAAAGCCCCTAGTTATAAAAGAGTAAAAGTGCCCAGAAGCTCTGAGAAGACTTTCAAGGTACTATGGTACATTAAGACGAATGACATTCTGAGGGACCACAAGATTGATCCGATCACAAAATACATGAAGAATAGAGCCCTGAGATTATTTAGGAAAACTGACAGACTTACCAACACCGCGTTCTCAAATCTCGAAATGGTTACAAGCTCCTCGAGGAGATATGCAGATATGAGACAATTATTGCTTAGTCTGCTGAAGTGATAAACAATAATCCAGTCAAGGCATACAGAGTAGTTTTGCAGGAATCTCGCAGTTAATAGAGAGTTAAAGTGTTGAAGTGCACTTACTCAACTAGCTTTAGCATAATAATATGTGATAATATTTATATATGCATTCATGCTTTCATATATGCTGACATGTTCTAATACTTCATGATTCATGATTTTTATTAGTACTAAAAATGTTCCTATTATGTATTTTCTGAATAGACCAATTTAATTTACATTTTGTCATGTGTCCACCTTTCACTTGTTGTACAAACGAATGATATGCTTTCTCTGTCAAAGGAAAAAAAAAACAAAAACTTTGAGCAACAAACTTGGTATAATTATAATATAAAATAAAATAAAAAAGAAATAAAAATAGAAATAAAATAAAATAAATAAGAAATGTAAAAAGTTTTACCAATGTTGCCGCATTTGCCCCAAACTGCAAGTGCCAATTGAAATTATTTACTAGCTTCATCAGACAAAAGGACATTTTTCTTGTCGATTGGAAGTAACTCTAAAATACATTCATTACTTAAAAAGGACAGGAATAAAGGGAAAGGCTATGCAAGAATGGCAGGAGAAAGTTTTGCTGTAAAACTAAATGCAACAGAACTGCAAAGCCAGAACGATAAGAAGAATGAAAAGTGCAAAAAGGCGACAGGAAACTTTTTTCTTTTGGCAACTAATTGGCAAACTTAAATGTAAGCCTTAATTTATTTTTGTTGCAACATTTGTTAAACGAAGTTCACAAAAAAATTTGATAGAAAAATGGAGAACGAAATTAAAATACAATAGCACCAAAGGCAACAATTCACAAAAAACAAATACAAGTAACAAGAAAAAATATGGAATACCGAGTACAGAGCACCGAGCTCAGAGCTCAGAGCACCGAGCTCAGAGCACAGAATACTGAATACTGAACACTGAACACAGAAGAAGATGTGACATTACATTAAAGGACATTTCCATTTAAGGCTTCATTAAAATTTACCCGAAAGCAGAAGAAGCAATGGAGAAGCAAACAAAATTTTTAAGAAAATTTCCTTGTCTCTGTATTAACACTTCTGTTTTTATTTTATTTAAATACATTTCCTCTCCACTTTCTTGTTAGGAAAATTTTAAATTTAATAATTTATTTTTTAGTTTCTGTTTTTTTTTCTGTTAGCACAATTATGTTTTTATGATCAAAATTTAGAGTGTCTTTCATCTATTATCTGTTATCAATGTAAATTGAGCTTTATTTTAGGAAGAGGTAACGATGTCTTTCCATCACTAACCTGCGCACACCGATTCGCATTTCATTGGTCTCCCTCGAGCCATTCCCGAGACCTTGAGACTCGTGCAGATTCCAAGGCGGTATCCAACGAGCAATACTGCTATTGGTTCTTCTTAGATAATATCCTATCTAGCCCGACTTGTAGTGGACTCACACACGAGAGTTTTGATTGTAAATTTAGCTTTCATTTTAAATTACTATTCTTTTTGTTGGCACAGCATTTCATTCTGCCACAGTAATACTGTAAACTAATGGCAATCAGTAATACTGTTCCCAATTATTTCCCATAAATTGCGGGGATCCTCAGGGAAGTGCACTTGGCCAGTTGTTGTACCTGCTACCTTACCATTGTATTGTCGGAAAGTGAAATGTCGGAACTTTTACAGATGACACGGAAATAATGTGTCTACCACCAAGTTACAAACCGCTCTTTAAGAAGTTGAGTAATAGACTAATAAATAGGAACTGACAGCAAACAGTTCAAAATTAAACCACGTCGACTTTACTAACAAAAGAGAAACTCAAATGCCATTATTTCTAAACAGCATAAAAATTCCGAATGCCGAAAGTGAAAATCTCAATGCTAAGAACAGGAAGCTGTCATAACATATAACCAAATAATTCAACCGTCACTTCTATATGGATATGTAGCGTTTAGCAAGGTCTCGAACACTACCATTCGCCAGCTAGAAATTGCACAAAGCCAGGCTCTGAGAAGACTTTTCCAAGTACCATGGTACTTTAGTACGAATGATATCCTTAGGAACCTCAAGATTGATACGATCAAAAAATGCATAGAAGATAGAGCCCTGAAATTATTTAGGAAAACTGACAGACTTACCAACACCGCGTTATCGAATCTCAGAATGGT